AAAAACTCCCCAACATTCTAGCGTGATTAGATCAGATTAACATAAAAAGGGCTGTTCTGAGAAAATTGTTTCGTTTTCATGGCGTTTATCAGCACGAACATTTATATTTATCAAGTGACATATTATTTACTTAGTTACGGGTTACGGTTTAGCAGTCATTGAAAGCACAAATTTGTTTTCCTGAATTTAATAAGGGGACCCCAAGTTTCCGATGAAATAAAAATATTATTTTCGGTTACACGTTTAGATATTATGAGTATATTTGAATTTAAATTTAAAATTCAGGCCAATTTGAGGTAAGTAAGTCATCAATACATAGCCGAAGTCCGCGATTTGATTTCTTTGCTTGTGGATTTGTAGGTCTCTTGTTAGGCAAGTTAACAGTAAGGTTTTGATAAAAACAATACTAACGGGTTTTATTTAATTGCCATATAAATACATACGAAAATACATGTGCAAATCGACTATATTTCTTTATGCGATAACGACTTGTGTCAAAAGTGAAGGTTGAATCCCATGTACCAAGCAAAAGAAATCGCATGAACGTTGTTTGATATCAGCACTGTGTTCTGTGTAAAAGGTTAATTGTTTAAAGTATGTATCTTTATAGGCCAGGTATATACATCTATCTTTTTAGCTCTACTTTAGGATTACCTGTCCTGGATAGAAATGCTGAAGGTCAATTACTTTGCTTTCAAGTTGTATGCCAAGTTATTTTTCTGAATTTATTCTTTTCTCACTTACTCTGCCTATAATTTGCATTTGTGTGGATGTCATATGATTGAATTCTTTCTAATTTTTTCTTGGCTTGTTTCTACGTGTTTAAGGCGACAAATACTAATAAATACTCTCTTATTCTACCTTTGATTCTATTTCTTTGATAAGTTCTTTGGAGTTTTTTGGTTTGTAAGTTCTAGAAGGGTCATCCCGTCCATAGTTCACATTATGTTCACGGGGATTTTGGGTATTTGTTACACTGAATTAAATTGTAATTTCCAAATTCGACTTTTATGCGAAAAACTTTTTTGACATGACATTTTAGAATGGAGTTGTTCCTAAAATGCTTTGCCGGACTATCCAGGGTGTCCTACCGAAGCAATCGATATCTGGCAAACTGTAATTGGGAGCAATTTGTAATTAGAAAATTGGACAGTGTGCCAAAGTGATTGGGGGCAAGCGATCTAAAATATTTTCGAGGCGGCCACGCTTCCGGTTATACCGGAAGTAGGTATCAACTTGCTTATTTTAAATAGAACACCCTCTATATTATTACATTGTTGAATTGTATTCTAAATTCTAAATATATTTCATGTTTATTATCCTATACCTAAGTCTAACCGTTTTTGATATATGTACATATTTAAAATTTTATGTAAAAAATTGCACATTGACAGTTGCAGCCACTCGAATAATTATTCATTTTTACTATAAGCGTCTGGGCATGATTATTAATTATTTTCAAAAAGTGATTGACCATGGTAAGCATTTCTTTGGCAGTTGATTGTAGTTAAAAATGGCCACTTTCGTCATGGCAACTAACAGCATTAAAAACTGCATTGAAATGCGGCAAAATATACATATGAAAACATTAAATTGACAATATTTCGGAAACTAAACACTTTGGGAATAGACACCCTAACACAAACTTGTTATTTTTAGATATAGTATTTTAGATGTATATAGAATAGTAAAAAAGATAAAATTATCAAAAATGGGGGTTCTCTTTGGAAAAATGGATTTTAGGCGGTTTTCTCAACGTCATTTTGAAACTTATTTCTTCAACACTTTGTATTAATAGTTATTAAAATGTTCTCAAAATTCCCTTAACGTTCCGAAGTCCTTTTCAACAAGAAATGCGACTAAAATTAAGTAGCCATATTCCCTTATCCGAAAAATGAATAATTATTCGAGTGGCTGCAACTATCATTTTTTACATAAAAGTTCAAATACATATATCAAAAACGGTTAGAATTAAGTACAGGATATTAAGCATAAAATGTATTTAGAATCTGGAGTCGAATTCAAAGCTGTAATAATACATAGTGTCCCAATTAAAATAAACGAGTTGATTCCGACTTCCGGTATAACCGGAAGTGTGACCATCTTGACAACATTTTAGATAGCTTGCCCCAATCACTTCGGCACACTGTCGAATTTTCAAATTTCTGCTGATTATAATTTGCCAGATATCGATAGCGGCAGTTTCCGGTGGAACACCCTGTATTAAGCACTCACCAAATGGTCGAATATGTTGATGAGTTTATTGTGGGTTCATACTGTTGTTAAATAAATCATTCATTGATTCGTCGAAGGGTTTCGTCAATAGTTCATTTTCGGGTAAAAAAAGCTTCCTCAATAAATCACCTTGGGTCTAAAAGCTCTGGAAGCTCTAATCCATTTTTTTATGAAACAACAGCAGAAACTCCAGCCAATTCAAACAAGCCTCATTTACAAATTCTATTGCTGGTCATTTCTAGGCATTGTATACCCATGGATGAGCTTTTCCAGGGTCTGTCACACAGCAATAGAATGCATAAACGAATATATGTTTTAACTTAAATGTATGCAGTTAATGCCTATAATAGGAATGCCTGAAGAGCAATCGCTTAAGTAAATTAAATTTGCCGCTCTAGAAAATCAAGCTCGATAAACAACTAGTTCATCATTTTTATTTTAAGTGCTGAAGTAAGCTTGATGGTTTATTGTTTTTGGAGAGCTGAAAAATTTGTTTAAAGTAATCCTACAGTGTTTTTAATAAAGGAGCAAAATTAATAGTTCTTTATTAATCCTAAACGGTTCATAATGTATGTTTTGACCAACAGATACTAAATCTCGAAAGGTCAAGAACTTAGATATGGAGAGTGAAATATCAAATTCCGCCAGTGTTTTCATATTAATATTCGAATTGTGCAGATATTTTTCACGACTGATTAAAACCAACACTAATTAAGTCCTAAAGTTGACGGGAAATTTTCAAATTCCACATAAGTACTACGCCGATTAACTTTATACCGGTTACTTTATAAATAACCCATTATGTAAGAATTAGCATACGCTTTAATATGGATTTAACAATATTGACAATCCTTGAAATAATTCCTTACTATGGTTACCAATTAGAAAAGTTAGTAAACTGTTTGCTAGTGATTGAAAAAACACCCACTCGAAGTCTATTTTTAGTAACAATAGAAATCTTATAAGGCATTAAATAAGAAAAAATATGTCAAGATTAACACATTCATAAATAATAACAATGATATTTCAAGTGCCAGAGAATTGATTATGTGAGCTTGAATTGCATTGGACTAGTTTTTGTACTTTGTAGAATACTATTCTTATGTTAATGTTCACCAAAAACTAATTTTATCGTATGAGATATGTGCGGTTTTACTAAATGCACCATTCCAAACATCCCAATACGTAGCAAATGGTCATATATAGAAAATAATGAAAGGAGAGCGATCTCAAATAGTTACATTTACCTTTATTGGACATGCTGGTTTTAACTTTTTTGTTTTCCCTTGTGACCAAGTCACATATTGTAATGGCATACGGTACAATGATGTACTAAAATTAGAGAAAGCTGGTAAGGTCGGAAATTCATTTTCTACATACAAGTCTATTTGTAGGATAATTTTGTTATAATAAATAAATAAGGAACATTATTTTGTAACGCAATACGTTCAGACACTTGAACCTGCATAATAATGATTGTTATTATCTATACCGTAACAAGTATGTAAATATAACCTTGTAGTAATTATGTAGAGAGTTTTAGTTATTATGCTATATCAAATTTTGACATAAACGTACATTTTCTAGGCATATGTGGCTTTTGGCACTTACGACTCTGATTGGATTACGATTAACCGTTACATCAATAACGTATCGAGTGTTAAAATCACCATTAAATGTCACTGGTAAGCTGCAGATGATAAAATGGTATTTTTCAAACGAATTACATATGTCCAGTATGCCTGAACGTGTTTCTAACGGTCGCGGAATTCTTCGATCACGTAACTTTCATTTTGTAAAATAAACCTTCTTCGACAATTATTTGTTTGATTTCAGTACAGTCGTCCGGATTTTTACATTAAATGTTTAAGTATCTTGTGGTAAATACTTGAAATGCCTAGTGTTGACTCATGAATCGTCAACCACTTATTCACTTCACAATGTGTCATATCTCTGAAGTCTGTTGCGTTTTGTCTAAATTTTTGAATCTTCAAGAATGCACTATGCTATATACAAAGTTATTACGGAGCACTGATAACAGTGTCATTAACATTTTTAATTTAACAACTGATACTTAAGTTTTTTTTTAAATCATTAGAGATGCAACATTGATTTAGAGTGTTTCAGTTTGGTAAAAAAAAGCATTAAACTTATTAATTGTTTCTAAATGGCAGAAGATGCTTTAATAAAATTTAGGAGGTTAATTGCCATCGAAGGGGAACGTTTTGCGATAAAAACAGTAATTTATGTTTTGCCAGTTGCGTTCATACATACCTACGTGGATATCAGAGGATTTTCAAGAAAAAAATTGATTCACCAACCCTTATTCGTAACATAATGAAACGTTTGGATTGCCGTTTCAATTTATGGGAAAGAACTCTGTTTCGATTTTTCTATCTTACACCCTGCTACAAATTTCCTATGTTGAGTGAACGGATTAAACATTTGATAATGGAATCCGTTAATAGGTAACAATTAGGGATTAATCGATACACTATTGCCAAATGCCACACTTAAAAATAAAATTTATTTATTATGCCCAAACGGCGGGATATATTTCGTTAGCCGTTTAGCAACACATAATAAATTAATTTTTAACTAAATCTTGAACACCCTGTACTTTTTTAACGAAGCGCTTTTGCTTTGCCAATTATATCTTAGATGTTACTGACGAAACTGAAGAGCTCTATATAGTCAAATAAAGTTAATTTTAGTTTACTTAGTCTACGTTTTTGTAAATTGTTAATAGTCAATTTTATTTTCAGGTAAGAATTTCACAAAGTCTCTCTCAACTCCAGCACAGCCTGTTAGTAAGTAAAACTTTTCTTCTATCTAATTTAAGAGTGAATTAACAGTTTTGCCACTACTGTTACCTATTGTCAAACTATTTATATTTTTTAAGTTGGCAGACAACTTATTTAATAATGTAATACATCCATGCTTTCGGATTATGTTTTATGATTTTACACCAATGCTAAGGACAATTAAAATTCCTTGGTCTTGTTTGCTTTGGGCAAATAGTGGTTTATATCTAAGAAGAAATCTTACGCTCTCATGTACAAACATTGGACTATGTAGAATTATATTTTGTACAGTTTCCTTAATCAAATTGAGAAAATTGCCTAGCAAGAATAGAAAATACTGTGGGATGTCCTTCCTCCACGCTAGTCGAAAAACCATCGTTTTTAACTTCCTATTTTTGGATATTGCTGAATTTTGACTTTAGATGAATTATGATACTGCTATGTGAACAATATAATTTTTTATTTCGCAGTGGTATCAAGTAGATTATATCATCGATACCAAGAATGAAATAAATTTTCAATTTTTGCTTCTATTGCTTACTTACATGTTTTAATATTTTTCCATTTGTCTATTTATTTAAAAATATTTCGGTTGATTTTTTCACATCATTTAAAATAGGAGAACGACACTGCAAATATAAAGGACAAACGCATACAAATTGTATCTAATAATTATAATATATTCAGCACCAAATACTGAAGCGGTTAGAACTGTGTGGCAAACATTCATGTGGGTGGTAATTCCTTAAAGCGATGTCAGTATTCAGATCGCCCAGGAAAAATTGAAATTAGCAGTTTGTTACGGATGTTAATGAAAGTGACAAGATAATAAATAGCGCTCTGTATGTTGTTGTTTTTTTATCTTGATGGACTTGCTGTGTAAGAAGCAGTTACAAATTACGAGATACAATAACAAAATATTAAATTAATCATGAGCATTTTTTTGACTTGCAATAAAAAAATTAAAAATCGTGTATTTAAATCTATTTGGTCTATGATTTAGCTAATAGAAATGAAAGCAAACTTTCTGTAAAGTTCTACAAATTGCACTACTTATGGGTATCCACTAATCCTAGTAATACCAACCAACAGTTTCGATTTAGTTTTGCATATGAAAGTAAAAAGGTTTCTTCATAATCGAGGAGTAGCTGCAATTTATTTCAATTGTTTGCAAAAAAGATCGAAAAGTAGTGACGTGGAGTCGTAATATGTAGCTTGTCAAAAGTAACCACTACTTTACGCTGTTGAATAATAGGCTTGAGAAGAAGCTTTCACAGAATCTATTGCAACTATGCCTTTTAGGGCCTTCAAAGTAGTACGTCTCCTTATATTTAAATTATATTTACTTTCAATTACTCAATTTATCCAATTTACATATTCGGTTGATAGAACTCAGCTTCAGGCAAATGTTTTCATCGCTTTTGCCATCGATAAGCTACAATTTGTAAAACAATCACTTTTATGTCATCAGATATGTACAAGGCATGTCGCAAATACATATGGAGCAAAATCTACAATTTTGCGTATTAATCATGCAAGTAAGAACAATCATGCTTCAACAACGTATGATGGAAAGATAGATGTCTTCTCATGGCTATATAACATGATGTAAGGCTGATCAAGCGTGACAAAACTAATAGTGTCATTAGAACATCCTCTGAGTGCCACCAAACCAATCATTCATGTCTCATGACTACGTTTCTGCCGACTATCAATATTTTATTTATCTATACAGGGTGATCATTTGAAAGTAACCATGCTGTCGTTTTATACGTTTTGAATACTGTCTTTGCGTCTATTACTAAACTGAACTGCAGGCTTCAATTCTGAGCCTAAACCTGTATGGCAACTAGAACTGGAAAATCAGGCACTTTTCGATTACTTACATAACTTTTCTCCGATTTTAATCTAAAAAGGGTTGAGTGTTTTTTAATTAAAATACGTTTCACTTATTTTCTGATCGTCTAATTTACAAATTTACAATTGTTAAGCATGAAATTGTCGAAAGTTCAGGAATCTGGTCCAGCATCTGTTAGAAGTTTTCTACTTGAATGCCTTATCATCTTCGTAAAAATACTAATTTCACTCTCCAACATCTTAAATAATGCTATTATTGATTGGTATTCGATTTACACTTGCGTGTCCCGAAAAGCCGTTATATTTACCCGGTATTGCCGGGTCCTTGACCTTACATGAAACTTACTTATTAGGTACTTGTCAATCCTAAAAATTGACAGTACTTATATTTGTATTTATTTCTACTTCAAATAGAACAAGCATGTGTACATATACATTATGTACAACTGACAGGCACACCAGCAGCCAGTCACAATGTACTCGAGATTGGGTATCCGAAAACACTGTTCTGAAAATTTGTGCAAAGATCAATTGTGCATGTCGATCAATTGATCTTTTTCCATTGGTCGAAATTTTTTAAACAAATATTGAATAAAGGTGTAAACCCACTCGCAGTGCTTCAGGTGTTAGAAATGTTTGAAATACTGTGTGCGCTTACTCAACTGTAAATTTACGGTAATCATTTTCTGTAATTGTTTGTCGTTTGTCACTCCATTATTGCAAATTGATCTAATTAGCTTCACAGTATCTACAATTATTATAGTTGTCTCCCAACCATGAGTTAATCACTTGCTATAAAGAGGGCAAACGGAATACTTACCCGTATTGAAGGTTTTAATAGTGAACATGTGTCACCCGTTTTTTATAATTATTTATTTGATTAACTTCTGCTAGCTTAGTTTTTAACTTTTCTTTTCAACTCAACTGATGTCAACAAACCATTGTCTTATTTCACTTTTTTTTATTTCTGCGTTTCAGCTCATATTTATGAGTTTCAACTCATATTTCTGAGTTTTAGCTCACATTTCTGCGTTTTGTTACTCATTCTTGTTTATGCTTAAGAATAACTCTTATTTTACTGAACTCAGTTTATTTTATTGTCAAAAGATTGTACTAATAAATTCAATTAACTCAACTAATAAAGTAAAATTATTTATTCCAATACTTATATGTGCGTTTTTTTGAATGACGATAAACATATATTTAAATTGTAGTTCAACCTATTCAAATCATTATTAGTAGGCCAAAACACTGAGACTTTCCCTTAGTATTACAAGTCGATCAAATACTAAAAAACCAACGTGAATGCACTAATTCCATTCATGTGACTTCGTCAATAAGTAATTGGCTGTTTAATCTTCCAAAACCACATTTAATCTTCCAAAACGACATTTAATCAGCACAAAAATATTGCTTAATATCCTCTAATAGCACTAGATGCCACTTAATGTTGGATTGAGCATGTTAAGGAAAATGTCATGTTTAATTTGATTGAAAGGCGTTAATAATCACAGGTTACAAATACTTGCCAAATGAATTATTGATATGTATAAATATTTCTCCATTCGATTTTGTAGATTTTCGATATATTTTTTTAATATAACTAAATCCCTCAATCTAAATAAATATTCTAAATAAATAATAATAACAATCTAAATAAATACATTTCTAAAAAATAAAAGTATCATCAACTTTGCTATTTCAAATGAGTCACCCCATATACAGGGTGTCCCATAAGCACATGATCAAAAGGGCACTGATACATTCTTTAGCACAAATAACGATTATATGACCTAACTTTTATTAACAAGAATGTTTTTATAACGTTATTATCTCCTATGCTTTGACTCAATAAGTTCTTCAAAAAATATGTTTTTTGAAATATTGAAAGAATGGTGCTTTGAATTTTAATGAAACTCGCTGTGAATTTGTTCTTATGTAAGTATTGTATTCATATTTTGATGAAACAATCGAGTTCATCCGCTTTGGACAAGTGAGGAATTATTTAGTGTCGTGGTACAAAAACTATCAGAACTTATAATTTGGAATCATATGTTTTTTTTTAATTGATGCACTAATCTATTTCGAACATTTTTGGGCTCTTATAAATAAGATTAGTGCATCAACTCAACTTATTGATTCCAGCTTCTAAATAAAAAGTTCTGGTAGTTTTTGTACCAAGACACTCAAGAATTCCTCACTTGCTCACAGCGGATGAACTCGGTTGCTTCATCATAACATGAGTCCTAGATGGGAACAGTGAGTTAATTTTTAATATTTCAAAAAATACACTTTTTTGTCTTCTTTTGATCCAAAGAATATCGTACTTCTGTATCAGTACCCTTCTGATCATATGCTTATGTGACATTCGATATAATACTGTTTTTGGATTCGCAATTAGTGTCCAAATCTTATTCTCTCATACTTTCCTATACCACCTATCTCTAACGGTTTCCAAGTAATTAATTAATTTCCAATTATTTAGTTCAAAACATAGCTCAAATTTAATGTTTATTACTACGGCTTCGATTCAAAATTCAGTATCTTGAATAGAAACTCGGTATTAGTTTTGTATTGGGTATAAGTTTCTTATGTATAATACAGCATCACGTAAAATGAAACGTAGCTTTATTTAAATAGCTCCAAAATAATAATAACTATTATAGCGAGAAGCAAAATTAATTCAATGACAAAAATAATTGCAATCAGGAAGAAATGTGAAGAAAAAGGTATTTGTTAAACATTTTCAGGATGAAATATACATTCAAAAGGACTATTTTGTCTCAGTCATAATAATAATGATAACTAAAACTATTGTCATTGTTGAGATTAAAATCAACTTCCTTGAACACACTCTGAATAATCCATTAACCTGAAAGGCAATGAAAACTTCTGTCAACTGGTATGTTCCTGGTCAACTGGTATGTTCCTGTACCTAAAAAGTAAGGTTTCCAAGATAAAACCGGGTTTCGGGGATAAATTTGGAATTTATCATTGTTTTCAGTAAATAAAACGAAAATAAATATTTGAATATTTCTTAACAAAGTTAGTCGAAAATTATAATGGAAAGAAAAAGCTATGGAAGTTAATTTTTGATGTAATGTTTTATTCTTCGCGGACGATGTGACCCAATGGTAGCGAAAACATTC